CGGAGTTTGTTGAATAACGTGCAAGTGAAATAGAAATGTCGTAGGTGTAGAACTGATATTCTATGAGATATTTCGTACCAAAAACAGTAGGACACCGTAACATAAAGCAATAGAAGGATAATTTTTGTTTAAAATTCACTATATCCAAACGTATCGGTACACCGAATGTGCCTGCGGAATTATTTAGCCTGGCGAGAAGGCGGTTCCCAAGCGGAAGCTAATCGTCCAGACGTCGAAGTTACCCGTTCCTCCGGGTGAATCGTGTCTCTGCATCGTCGAACAATCGCGGTTACCGTAACTAGTTTGCGTCTAATTACACTGATATCGTCGTATAGACGCTCCATTGTTCCACATTGCCGTGAAATGCAACGTCCTTCATTTACTTCCGCCAATAGTCCCAGCTTTCAATACCATCGGCGTTTCAATACCAAAAATTTTCCAATTTACAGTCGAGCAATACTTCGATGAGAGATGACTATATCAAGCCACAAAAATTCTCTAAATTAAAATTCTAAAGGAAAGACTGAAATCTCCTGAAAAGTCATCCCACTGGGAGAAGCAATAAAGGCTAATGGAAGACACATCACTGATTAAATAAATCGATATGGATATGTATATGTTAATACAATAAAAGCACACGAACCTCGACCTTAAATATCAGGGATGGATGAAGGGATAAATAACGAGTGGCGAAAAAGTATGGATGGGCTGGTTTGGAAAACTGGTGGCTGCTGGTGAAATAATTTAAACGAGGCGGCCGACGATGTGCGTCGGTCAGGTGACCAGGGTTCCGAATTACGGCCGGAGCCGCGGTCGTGCTATTTATTAGCATAGTTTCTTATCGATTACCATATTCCCGCCATAAATTTCGATTAGAAAGCGTATCGTAAATCCTGGGAATCAGGTTATTAACCGACAGACCCCGGGCTGCCGACGCTTCTCTCATAAATCGACCTGCAATTTATGTAATCGAGTGCACTCGTACGAACGTTCAAGTAGTCGTTCACAACGCTCTTCTTAATATTCGCTGATAAGACGCGGCCAATAACTACGCCCCTCGATCTCGTATCGATGCCTCACGGATCGTTGCCTCGCTAGCAAGCAAGCACATAGTCAAGATTAGTATAACCACAACCGATACTATTCGCCGTAAAGTTGCGGCAGAGATCGCCGGAACTCCGGGCCATGTCATCTCCTGATCCAGATTAGCAAATTAATCGTCGCGTCGAATACGAGATAAGCCGATACCTGGATCTCTCCTCGCGTTTGTTTCTTATGGGTGTTGCTATCGACTTGCGAGTATAATTCAGGGGGAGATCTTTGAGGTGAAATCCTTTCTAATCTTTTTAATTTTGTAGAAATTGATTATTAGAAGGATATTTACACATTTTTCTACAGTGGCCACAGAAAGTATATTTATCGTTGTGATTAATGAAATTTAAATATGTTAAATTTTACATTATTTAATAATACATACTTTCATACGAAAATTTTTCATAGAAAAATTTGATTTTGATTATGAATAACGGTATATGAGAATACTTTTGGTAGACATTATACTTTGAATATTTTATATACATATTTTCACGCATTATACAGCGTACTTTTACGTTTTTAGATTTCCCATCAATTCATAAACACGTACCACCATTAACGATATTTCTAGAATTTCAATTTCTTACATTCTACTTCTGTAGTCATAACTGTCCTGTCTAATGACGCATGCAATATAATTTCTTGCTAATAACACACGAAAACCCCGGATCGTCTACCTGCGACGTCTATTAGCACGACACCAGCTCGTTCTAAAAAAAAAATCGTAGCTATTAGCCTACGCGTATAATTAATGTCGGCAAAACAACAATTACTCCGGCGCAATTACGCGCGAATGGCGAGGGCACACACGTGCCGGAAGAGGCGGCAGGCCACAGGGTAAGCGTGAAGCGGTCAGAAGAGCAGAGAAATAGAGATGGAGAGAGATGGAGAGGAAAGGGGCACGAATCGGGACTCGTTAGTTACAGATTCGCGAAACTAGATTAACTGACTAATTGTCTTGGCAGAAATCTCCGGTCGCTCGGCCTTGGTCCAGCTTGGGCACACAGGACTCTACGTTGAATTCACGGAACAAAGGCCGTCCAGGCGATCGTAATAATCCGAACTATGCGTTCCACTGGCCCCCGGTCGTGTAAATTCATTGTACGTTCCCTTCCATCCTCTGTTTCACGCTAATTGCGAGAACGCGTGTGTCTATTAACTCTTGCACGCGCCAGTAGAAGATGATAAGCGTATTGAAGCGTTGGTTAAGTTCTTCTAGCAGGTTTAATACAAGCTATATGTTGGTCGCGAAGTTTTACCGCAATGCTACACAACACGCAGCGTATTATCGCGCTGATTTTTCGCCGCTGGTTACCCTCTTACCATCCTGACTATTTTCCACGATAAGTTTTGATGGGACGCGTCACGTTTCGCCACGCTGATGACGGTACGCGGCAAGGTTTAATGAGAACGGCACCGGATTTCGCTGGAAAATTAGCATTTTTTCTGTTGTGCTTATTTTCTGTTATTAATACAAGTACACATGTACGCTTGCCGCTGCTAAAAATTTTGTACATACACATTCCCTTTGTGATCTTCCGCGATAATTTCGAAGTTGTTTCTCGGAAGAGACGAGCGTGGACCCAGTGAAAATTGCAAAGATAGAACTAATTAACCCGCCAAGTGTGTCCCCGTACCTCTGACCTGGTCGCAAAAGTAAAGAAACATAAAAAGCCCGGCGAATATCGTTCGTGAAGCGGCGAACGAAGCGAGTTTACCGCACAATGGTCACCAAGGGTTGCTCGTAAAGCCGGACTTTTCATTGGTCCTACGACGGTTTGTAAATTTATCGCTCGGCCTGGTCCATGGCGACGTCTAATCATTAGAAGAGGAGCTAGGGGTTATTTAATGAGGCGCGCTGTAAGCTTGCTCTCTCTCTCTCTCTCTCTCTCTCTCTCTCTCGCTCTCACACACACACTCTCTCTCTTCTCTTCTTCTCGATTTCTCTTCATGGACCATCACCGTGGCTCGATCTCATTTTATACGAGATCCCTTTCTCGGCTCTTTGCTCGGTTCTCGTCTGTTCTCTTCTTTTTTCGTTATCGCGGAGGAACCGCTGTCAACGCTGACAAATTACGGCCGGACGCCGCGCCACTTCTCCGGAACGGATATTCATAAGGCGGCTGCGCGCGTACGTTCCGTGGAATTTGCAAATTACTTTTTCCACCGAGTCCGAGAGACACTCGACCTTCTGTCTCTCGTTGCCCCGACCACCCTGGAAACGTGGAGGAACCGACAGATCGTTTTCGTCTCGTACGAGCCGTCGAGCTATGGCCACGAGCATGCGCCAGACACGGAGGATCGATCCTGATGTGCACGCGTGCCGTAACGAGCCCAACGTGTTCCGTGAGCGTGAGTCTCGGATCATTGATTGTTCAAAGGATCATCGTTTAGTATGCAGGATCCAAGCCAGTAGCCCGCTAGGTTAGGTGTACGTACATCTGCTTAAATCCGGCTTACGAATGTCAGTAACCGATGGGAAGGGGAAATGTTTGCCGCTGGACAATGGAAAACTCGTGACATCCCTCTCTCTTTCGTACTCGGCTCTTTAATTATGCACTACGAGCCGACTGGCGAACCTTCTTTTCGAAACGAAAGAACCAACTGTGGACGGACACTTTTGCGCTAACGAAGAATGATTATTGTGGTGGATTATATAGAGAATTTAGGTGGGTTCGCTTTGTCGAGTAAAGTTTTTAAAAAAGTTTTACCAGCATGCTCGATTTACTTGAGAATCCGAACGATTTCCATGGATGGAAAGCGACTTGGTAGATAGCCGGCAACTTATAGCGTTTTCTGCGAATACGAACTTTAGATGAGCGAAGTTGCATCCGTAATAAAGTAAATGAGAGTAGATATAAGCGGGTTGAAGAGATAGGGGCTGTGGATGAAGATGAGCGGAATTTGTTTCGCGTAATTGTGATTAGAGCTTGGAACTGAATCCTCGGCAACTTCCTAAACGTTGCTCGCGTATTTTATACGGTCGGTAATCTGGTCGCCGGAATGGCGAAACAGGTTTTACCTTGCTCGTTCGAATGAAGACGGTTCCGGTACTTTCTGAAAACCGCGTGGACATTTTTATTTACTCATTTATACTCGCCGCGGAAGTTAGAGACCTCGTGGAACGATGTGCCTCGCAAATCCAGATTTACGGGAAAGAACCGGAAGGTAGCATTGAACCGAAAGAAAGTTGTGTTTTTAATAATGCTGGGATACTTTCTTTAATCTTCCGGAAAATTAAATTCTACTGCCATTTGAGAACTTCATTTCCATTAGTTATTATTTCGTCGCTAGAATACTTTCGTATTTATGTGAACATTTTTAAGCGCGCAACACAACATACAATGTGTATAAAAATATACAAAATGTTCAGAGTAGAGGGATATTTTTATTTGTTAGGATATTTAAAGCGTATATTTACACGTAGATTATATTCATAAAAATATAATAGTTTAGTTACATCGATATTTGAAAAAATTTGCCGTAAAAATGATTTACTTCGATGGAATTGTCATAATAGCTCGATAAGAATACATCGTTTAATATCATTTAATGTTGTAATTCAAAATACAGCTATTTTAAGCTGTTTTAAATAATAACTAACATGTGCTTAAACAATTTATTATTAGACACCCTCGATATCCAAGAAATATCAATTCAACTTAAAATAAAAATAGATAATTTAACTATTTTTAAACGATTGTGTAATTGATAATTCCGTATTTCGAAGCAATATTCCAAAAAAAATATCGTACTCCTAGCGAACAGGCAACATGAATCTCTACGTAAACATACTCCAAGTTGATACGTCGCAAAATCGAGACCGAATTCATTCGTGTCACAACAATAATACGAAACCTCCCCACTTCGACCTCCGGCTGTTATCGAATCGTCGACAAGGGCTCGCCGACTTATATACATTCAGTTTCGTGCGACGAGTCACAAGGGACGGCAAACGATTGTTAATTAGCGTCCGAAAAGAGCGACGATTTCACAGTGTACCGTGAGCGGGACCGTTCAGCGAATCGCCATCGAAATCGATAATAACACAGCGCACGATGTTGTCGAGGGGGCGGGAGGACAACATCAAAGGGTGACGAAGAAGATTCAAATTCGCAATCAACGTGCAACGAATTGCGGGCGGTTGATGCGCAGGGAATCGCCTGTGCATAGCGTGTTCGCGCGCGTGTAGCACGCGGAGGACCGCGTTATTCGTGTTGGGACTTGCGAGCCCTCGTTTCGCATAGAAACTAGCTGGTTCGGATAGCGTTACCCGTTCTACGTCCCTAATTCGATGTCAGTGAAGTTTAATTCGCACTTTAAGTTCTTCGTGACGTGAATTTCAGCGGACCAGAGAATTCGAACCATCTGCGCCTCGGATGAACGATATTTCGAGTAATTAAGACTGTCTTCGAGAACCAGTATCAGTCTCCAATTACGCATTCGTCTCGGTAAGTCAAAAAGTATTATTTTTTCTCTTGTATCTTTTCACCTTTCCTGTCTCTCTCTTTCTCTTTCTTTCTTTCTTTTTCTCCTTGAGAATGTTTGAAAAATTATCCTGAAAGAGTTGTTTGAAGTAAGGCGTAGAATTTTTCCATCGCTACAACGACAAGTCCAGGAAAGTCTGCTTGAGAAACACTTATTATTTTATACAGACTTGTCTGTCGTTTTTAACCGGTGCATTTTTACGAGACACTTAACGCTTCTTACCTTTGGTCTGTAGATACTCGTCTTACGTTTCTCGAGCGGGTGAATTCTTTTTACGCATAGTTGTCGGGAGTTTGTCAATGATTCCTTTTAGAAGCTTTTTGCGTCGTTTTGTTAGGTATCGTTACGTTAAACGGGAAAGCTTAGGAAGAAATCCGTTTGACGTAGAAAATCGCCGATTACATAAATTTTCATTGCTTCTCGGCTTGCCTTTTCACGGATTTTACGACTACTTACGACCAGTTAAAGCGGAAAATCGCGGTAAACAGCGCGATCCCGATTTCAAGAGGACACGGGGAGGGGGCGACACAATAAATTGCAGTCGTTAGACGGAAACACGAATTTGCGTTTCCGTCGAGCCACGTTCCACCGTACTTTCGCAACTTTCTCGCTCTCTGCGCGTTTGCGGCGCGTCGCATCAATCACGATCGTTATCGCGCCGCGAAATTGTGCCGGCGCACCTTTGCAACGCGCGGAAATTTTCGCCCCGTGTTGATAAATCGCGTTCCCCGTGATCGATTCTACGTAGGCAAGCTGTTTTCTGCATTCGGTTCGAAAGTATCTATCCGAGAAGAAATACAGGCCGATGCAATGATAACTCGATTCAAAATTTATTTCTCTTCCTATCGGTCAATGTACAATTTTATTCTTCTTAACAATTCTTTGCCACGAGTCGAGAAATTTATCACTGTGTTGCTTTTGTGCTACTGAGTGGTCGCAGTAAAATTCGAAGATTATAATTGATGAAAAGAGCGTGTTGTATAGGATTTGTTCTGCCGAATAATTTATCGACTAAGAATATTACGTTATCTCGAAAGTTTCTTTCGTTTTAGAAGGAAATAATGGATGCACAACATTTTTTGTTTTATATTATTTTATTCAGTTATATACGATCCATTTTGTTTTATTTCTATTATTATGATTATACATAATTCACTAATATTAGGTTGTCCCAAAAATTTCTTCTGTTTTAGAAGGAAATAATGGATGCACAACATATTTTGTTTTATAGTATTTTATTCAGTTATATACGATCCATTTTGTTTTATTTCTATTATTATGATTATACATAATTCACTAATATTAGGTTGTCTCAAAAGTTTCTTTCATTTCATAAGGAAATAGTACATGTATAACCCTTTTTCGTTTTGAGGTGGATTCAACGTGTAGGTTTTTTTGATAAGAAACGAGTGAATGAATTTGTAACAGTCAGTGTATTAAAATTCGTATAAATACAAGATATAGTGTACGCCAGTTATAATCGCATCTTGCTCAATACTCGTATGCCGATCGTAGAAAAGATAACAATTCAACTGTCCACGTTCTTACATTTATATTTTAGCACAAAAAGTAAAAGGTTCTTATGTAACTGTGGTTGAAGATTACAAATAACGGCAATAACAATCTGTCCAGAGTTCGTTTATCTTTAGACCTTGTAAACCAAAACAATCGTTAGTGTTCAAAGGTACAATAATATGGGAATTTTCTGTTGGCTTTTTTTCGCTCATGTGCCACTACAGTTTTATATTATTTTATTGAATTTTATTCTACTTCTATTATTACGATTATACGTAATTCAATAAAACAATATGAAACAAACAATGTTGTATATCCATTATTTCCTTATAAAACGAAAGAAACTTTTGGGACAACCTACTATTAGTGAATAGACAAGTTACAGGTTGTAGGCTATAGACTAGTCTTCCATAGTTTTAAACTTATACGTCGAATAGAGATTACTGTCGCGGATAACATAGTGTACATTAACCAGCCTAATCATACCTAGATAATGTCTTAAATACAAACACACGAAACTCAAACGAGAACAATAGATAAAACATGAAATATAAATAAAGACTTTCGAATTTATCGTGTTCGATATGCAACCGAAAATCATAGTTTCTATCCAAGAAATAGAAACTTCTTTTTTCCACTCTTCCCTGTGTTGAATCCTAGAAAAATCCTAATTATTTTTCCACATTCGGAGCTATTATCTAATCGTAAGTGTATCGCTGGCTCACTATACATCATTCGAAAATTCCATCGCAAGCAGAGAATTGGAAAAACAACGAGACGTTGCTTGGTGGCGGACAATATTTCCGCCAACAGGTGCCGAACGATAATTACCGAAGTGGTAGAGCCGAGAGATGCGTACGGAAGATATACGATGCAGATGTTTCGTTGGTCGGTTCGGCTGACAAAAAGAGAACACGTGGATCATCGACAAGGACAAGGGCAAGGCGGCTTGTCCATAGAAGAAGAGCAAGAAGCAGAAGAAGAAGAAGAAGTACTAGAAGAGAAAGAAGACAAGAGATCGAGGGGAAGAAGAAAAAATGGGCGGGCGTTAGTCTACGAGCAAAAGAAGAATGAGAAGGTTAGTGTGCTCCGGTCGGTGGTTAGAAAGGTGGGACGATGGGGCAGGTAGAAACGAAGATGGACCATGAAGAGACACAAGAAGGGGCGTGCGAAGGGGAAGAGCAGAGGAAGGAGATGAAGAAGAGGCGAAGGAGGAGCAACACGACCCTCTGCCGACCTAATGAGCTCCGAGCTCCGGGACTAAAATAATTATAGAAATTTCCTGCCGATGAACGAAGCACCTTAAGAAAGATTGCCTCCCATTAATAAGCCACAGACGTATTTGCCTCCAGAATTATAATCAGCCTGGTCTAACAGGCCGTTCGTGTTTCCGTGAAATTCGTGCGGCTGTCGTGGCTGGCAGCATAGGATCGGCAGCACGAAACGATTTAGTTTAGATTAATATGCTACGTCGGTGTTCTGAGTACCGAGAGATCATGGCTAGACGGAGAAAGATACAGAGGGAAAGAAGAAGAGGATGGAAAAGGAAAGAGGAAGAAGACTTCGCCTTTCGACTTTATTGATTTTCCTCTCTGCTTGTTCTTCGTCTCTCGTGTATTCGCCGTCCCCTTTTTCTCTCATTCCCCGTCCAACCTGCTTTTCTTGCCTCTTCACTTTCTTCCTAGTCGTTCGTGCACCAACTGGAAGAAAGTAGACACTCGTATAGGAAGAAGGGCCAAGCAGAAGTTAAACAGCGCGCGTAAATCGAGCACGAATTAGTCACGATCCATTGATCAACGTAAGAAACGACGTATCGTCGATCGATCGTCATGAAATTAGCGCTTATATTTTTGTAAGGCATAGGGAGTAGGTGGATGGACAGGGCAAAACGGCGTGGTTCAACGGAGAATGAGTGGTTCATGGATGGTAAAAAAGTTTTCGGTTGAAGAGAGGGGTAGCTTAAAAGAATATTAAATCGTGAAGAAGTAAGTAGAAGTACCATTGTTGGAGGAAGTACTTGGGTGAAATAAAACGAGAAGAAAAAGATGGTTCATCGCGAATCTGCTAGTAGGTTCGTGAAGTGTTCATTGAACTTTTAAAGTTCTCTATTCTTCGTCGTTACACTACGGTTATTTGGGAATTTTGAGCATATAGATTTATCAATTCGTTCGATATATCTCTTTTATCTAATTCATAAATTAGAGATTTCAAAGGTGAACTCGGTCAACGAGAAATAAAGTACAGAAACATGTTCGTGATTGGACTCCAAATATTGGCAGAAATGACGTTTCCAATGAAATATAACTCGTATAGACAAGGTGACGTTTTAATCATCTCGCAACATGGCGACGAAACGATCAACGAGAGATCACGTTAATAGGGCGCGACTTGGAACAATCGCGGTGAGAAAGTGAAAAGGTCGCAATTACGAGACGCGCGTGCAGATTTTCGGCTGTAATTAATTACCGGGCGCGAGTTTATTTATCGGTGGCCGCGTGGCGACGCGATAATTTTCTCCTGACGATTTATCCGAAATCCCATCCGATAAATAGCGAGCTTTTCGATTAATCGACCCAACATTTGCTCAGGCGTCACGCGTCGACTAAATATTTTTACTAATTAATACCTCCCCTTTCGTTTTTCCGCTTCAACGAGCCTTTCGCTTACAACGATCGATTCGCTCCTTCGGAATAACCAACATGCCAGATAGAAATTTTAATCGTAGAATTTAAATGGAGGTTTCCCTGTGGTAACGTTTATATTCCATGTTTGTTCAGGTTAACTCGACATAGCTGAAATCAATCTTTGAAACTCCTTTCCTCAACCTACATTTTTAATCCGGTCTGCGTTCAACAAAATCAAATCCTGCCCCAGTTTTAATTGCCAAATATACGCCGAGATACCACCATTGTAATGATCGTACTCGATATTTGTTTAATTTGAAATCAATCGATGCTCTAGCTTAGCATAATCCCTTGAAACTAGCTCCCGTTAGCTTTGTGTTTAATTCACTCAGTCGTTATTCAGCCAAATTAAATCCAGTTTCAACTCTAATTGCAAACTATTAACCGAAGTACACAGTCTGAAAAACCATACTCGATATTCGTTCAAGTTAAAACACTTTGACTGCCACGCCGAAATCACATGTTACGCTCAGGACGCCACAGTGTTCTAACACAGTGCACCGTTAGATGCAACATTCCTCCTCATTTTTTTTTTATTGATCTAATAAAAATGTTTAATTGTTCAGTGGGGCACTTTTTATTTCAAAGTATCTTCTATTTATCGGTTATATTTAATATACCCTAACTGTCAATTTTCATTCAATATTTACAATTCTAAGAAGTTTCAGCGCTCCAGTCATCAATGACCACCGTGGCGTCACAGGAGAAACCGTGACTGGTCACATATGATCAACGTGGTAGCCAAAGTGTTAATCTCCGATAGA